CTCTTCAAACTTCCTAACATCATCAGGATCAAGGTCAGACTCAGATTCGTAGTCATCGACCATGACACCCTTTCCCTTTCCAGCGGTCGAGGAAGAAGCACGACCAGGCACCGAGGACGAAGGCTCGTCCAAAATAGTAACAGCGGCCTCAAAATCCTGACCCCCCATCGTGTCAGGTTGTTGATCGATCATAGCGGCGGGGATCTCCGTCGACGGGGCAGATACAACGGTTGGCTCTGGCTCTACGGGCGGAGTGGTATCAATCCCCGCCTCAAACCCCGTCAAAGGAAGGTCTTCCTCCATATGTACCACGATCGAAGGGGCCGATTCGGACTCCACTCGCCGCCTCTTGGATGGCCCCTCTCCCTCATCGGCACGGGAGGATTCACTTGATGGATAGGCAATATGGGTCGGAATCTCATTTTGAGGGGCGACCTCCGTGTGTATGGCCCACAGTCGTAGACTCAACTGAAGGATCCCTCGATGAAGGTCGAGCAATAGGCACTGAAGCAAGGCGAGCGGACGATGTAGACTGACGAAAAGCCAGTGGAGGAGCCCTCGTTCTCCGCACTCTACCTAGCATTGATGAACATCACGTGAGAAATCGAGTAAAAAGGAAAGAGGGAAAGAATAGCCAACAAAAATGGTCTCACTCACCAGTAAGGGGCTTGCGTCCATATCTCTCATAGAAGGACGACCATGTGTGGATCCCCACCGTATGAGGAAAGATGGCGCTCACCCACTCGCGGATACCATCAACAGGTGCAGGGGTTAGTTTCGCGGTTGTAAAAACGTAAACAGTTTAGTACTACCCAGTAGAAAGCGGTCGGATATAACTCCGACAAAAAGTATAGAGACTTACGTGCGAAGTTCCATTTCTCAGGGAACCCCGTAGGATCCTCCACAAGGCGTTCGGTCCGTACATAGAAGTAATTCTCGTAGAAGCGATGGTTGGCCCTATCGTCCATCTTCACCACCTGACTCTTCGACCCTCGGTGACGCATGTGAATCATCCTGCCACGAATGAGTTGAGGGGCGAAGATATTGAGTATGTGCTCCAAAGTGATCTCACGATCGTCAAGCTCCGCAAACTTGAGCACCATGAGGAACAATTTGTACAGGTACGGCGAAAGTTGATCCGGGCATACCTCGCAAAAGCGGTAAAAATCTACCACCAAGAGAGGGAGAGGAAGTGTGTATCCCACAATAAATAGGTAGGCGTAGAATGCGCAATACCCTGGGCAGTCGAAGTGGACTATGTCGTTCCCCACCGCCGACAGTATTTCAACATAGCGAGGGATTCCCCGCCTAGCCTTCAATTCCGCGATCCCCTCTTCATTTATAACAGAGAGAGCAGGTTTCGGCTCCTCCCCTGCGGGACTATGGAAATCATTCCATGCTCTCCCAGGGCGAGGCAAGATCTCATCCCCCGACGGGATATCCTCATCTTCCACCATTTTTGCTCCTCAAGTGACCAGAACATCGCTTTTCGGCGTCGGAATTGTGGCAGGGAGGTCAGCACGAGAAGAATCGCCAGTCATTTGTGTCAATTTGATAAAACAAAGGGATAAAGAAAGGGAGAGACGAAAAAATTCTTGGCTAATCGGAGAAAACTAAAAATCCGAAATATCAGAAGAAAAGAAGATTCGCAAAGTTCTTTCGAGTAAAAGGCAAAGAAGTGTGTCAATCAAATGGTGCATTCCTTCTATTTATAAGAGACATAAATCCCCCAAGCACGAAACCCAAGAGTCGCCAATCGAATTTGATAGGGCATGAAACGGTTCAATCCCCCGGGAACGTGTGTCATAATGGCGGCAACCACGAACAGCGTTTCAAGTTAAACGATGTTTTGGTTCCGAAACGGCCACAACGGTCCAAGGATATCGAAAGGGGCTGCTATGTCACTTGAAACCTAAGGACCATACCCAAGGGGTAGGAAGTCAGATTTCTCTCAGATATGTATCAATCATAATCCGTCTGCCAGGCCCGACAAAGGACAACCCCGGCAGATGGAGGGACTAACTGCATTGGTCAAAATCTGACTGCTATGGTCGACCCATCCGAGATCCCGTCCAAGCGGCGAGACAGTGGATGACGACATGGTTTGCTCCAAACCCCGCCCTCATAGAGCCCGACAAGTCAAAAAACAACATTCAGGGAACGACGAAGGTGGGCGTGGTATGAAAGTATGTTGACCCGAGAACACAATAAGGATTCCATGACTATATATAGGGAGGGAACCTTCCTAGAAAAGGGGGCTTCCTCTATTTCTCTTTCTTCTCCTTTGTAATCTCCTGAGCAAAAAGAAGACAAAGCAATCTCCCATGGGAGATGTAAAATAGTTATCTTCATCATTTAACAATGGAAAAACGAACAGCATCAATAAGATTGATTGCCCCTATTTCGTCTTATGTATTATTTTCTGATTTGCTTATAGATCTGGAGTTTATTACGTTTGACTAAGATTTACCTCTTCATCTTTTTTAATTAATTTAATCAAAAAGGTTTTAATATCTTTTGGGTCAAACACCCGCCATGCACAATGCTCTCTCGTACGCTCATCTTTTCAGAATGTTTCTATTGTCAAAAATTTGTCTTCAAATTAACTCTTTGCACTTTACTCGTTTTCTACTGTGATATATCAATCTTACGTAATAGGGTTCGTTCGATTTAGAGACAAGTAATGCACAGATTAATAATGTTGGGATTGTAACATAAAGATTAGCAATGTAAGAATTTTTTTAGATCTTTATTTCGATATATCACAAATCATTTGGTCCACAAACTACTTCTATATAAATTTGATTGTCGCGCGACAAAAAATAATATAGGGAATATAAAGTGGTGAATGATAATGTGGAGATTCTTATTCGATTAATAATAATAGAAATGGAATTAATTATGCGAAATTTTATAATAACAACAACAACAAACTTAGTGGATCTGGGAAGAGTAGTGTATACGCAAACTTTACCCCTACATTATACGGATAGAGAGGTTGTTTCTGATCAACCCTCGGCTCAAGGAGTTATGCCAAATTTTATGTCGAAATTATTTTCCTGGTGTGGCCAATCAAACAACCTCTAAGGACATCCGTTATTCATTTAGTCAAACTCATGGCCCATTGCATATTGTGCAACATTAGTTGTTTTATCACGTCAAAGAAGCTAAAACCCCATGAATTAAGCCGAACTCCAAGTCCCTAGTCCAATTTCCACACTTATATATATCAACCCCAGCAACTCCTGTTCCTACCATAACTGCTACTTCAGTCTAAAGAAATTTAAAAAACAAAAATCTTTCAACAAACATTTTCTAGCTAGAGTAATAGTAAAGATGGAGAGGAGAAACTTGTTCTTAATAGTAGCTCTCCTCCTCTTATCCATTTTTTCACAAGCCACCATTGCTCAAACCGAAGGCGATGGCACGCAGGAAAATGCAGTCACTGAAAATCCTGATTATGTTGTGTTGGATCCATTGCCAGGTACAGGACAAGAACGAGCGTTCTGCACCGTTCCGGGAATTTGCTACTACAGAACCCTCACCTGCCCAACAGAGTGCCCACAAAGGAAGCCTAAACAGAACAAGAAGCAGAAAGGATGCTATATTGATTGCACCAGCAAGTGTGAAGCAACTTGCAAGTGTAAGCATGCTCATTTACTATTACCACCTCTTGCAATGTTCCCATATATATAAATGGATTTAAGTTATATACACTGACTATGTAATGATCTTTTACACTATCAGTGAATCTTAACCTGTGATAGCAAGTTAGTTATCAGTTAATGCTTATCGTAAAGATTCATATGTAATTACCTTATAAGTGACCTGATTGTGTATACACTTTTTACACCGTCAATGCATGAAACTTACACTCCATCTAAATAAACTTATGAAACAAAAGTAGTACACTGTAGTATGACACTATTTTATTGAACCTCTAAATGAACTCAAAGTTTGCTCCTGTTTTCCCTACTTTTGACAGGGAGACTACCTAGGTGCGATGGTTATGGTGCTCTATGCTATGATCCAAGATTTGTGGGTGGCGACGGGGTGATGTTCTACTTCCATGGAGCAAAAGATACTGACTTTGCCATTGTCTCAGATGACAACCTCCACATTAATGCACATCTAATAGGGATTCGACCAGAGGGAAGGAAGCGCGACTTCACATGGGTGCAAGCATTGTCAGTCATGTTTGACATCCATACACTAGTCCTAGGAGCAAAGAAGGTGTCACACTGGGATGACAAGATTGATGCTCTTATCGTGCAGTGGAACGGTGAGACAGTTAATGTCCCGACAGATGGAGATGCTGAATGGAGTGTTAAAACTGCTGAGAGAGCAGTTGTGGTTGAAAGGACAGATGATCTTAACAGTGTGAGGGTCACAGTTTCCGGACTGTTGCAATTGGATGTGAAGGTAGTACCAATAGGTGAGAAAGAAAATAAGGTTCACAACTATCAAATACCAGCAGATGATTCTTTTGCTCACCTAGAGACACAGTTTAAGTTCTTCAATCTATCCAAAGATGTTGAAGGAATTCTGGGGCAGACTTACCAGCCAGGCTACGTAAGTCCAGTCAAGCGAGGGGTGCCGATGCCAATCATGGGTGGCGAAGACAAATATCAGACACCGGCACTGCATTCAGCTCTCTGCAAAAAATGCAGGTTCCAAAGATCCGCCGGTGTTGCCTCAATATGATGATGATCTTGATGAAGATATTAACGAATGAGTGTAGTACTGGACTTCGTTCAGCCAATAGTTTTTTTATTGTATGTTAACTAAATAATTGCTATAAATCTCATTATATGTGAATAAAGGATGCGGAAATCACAGAGAAATTTTCGAGTTTACATGAATGATGATATATCAATCTATGAATGTGGTATATTCTGCTTGACAGAAACATCAATGAGGTAATATTTTTAGACTTGTAAAAGTTATTGAGGCAAATCTTTTTTCTTTCTTTTTTTCATAATATCATCAAATCGGCAAGAGAAGCCAAAGTGCTCTTTTTCTCTAAGAAGTATAGGGAACATAAAATATCTTCCTGAAGTTGAAATTTATTGTAGTTTATCTGACCTTCTACCACTTCTACACTTACGTAGTAAGAGGCTTTCGCCTAGTCCAACAGTTCTATGATGCATCACGAACAGGAAGCTTCTACGGCTAAACTTTTTGTGACTCCTATACATGGATCACCAAATACATCTATTGAAACTCCAACACTACAGCNCTGAAACTCGTGAGCATATACTACTTGTCTCTCTTGTTGCAAAAGATAGCTTTGTTGGATTCCCGCCCATTTCCTCAAACAACACTATGACATTTCCGGTGGATTGCAGCCATGAACGAGGAACGTGGTATCTGCAAAAGTTTATATATGAAAGTTTCATTTCAAGATTGATTAATTAGAATTGATATTAAGTTCCACTAGATACCGTCGCTGCAAACTTTTGACTTAAAATTTAAGATAATACTGAAGACTTACAGCAGCTGGGATGGTTTTCCACAATTTTTGAGACATTTGTTAGAATTGTAAGATCCTCTATAATTGCAGGAGTCAGTACAACCTCCATTTGATGCAGTATTGGTAGGCCAAAATCGACCAATGCTTTGTCCATTCACCCATGCCTCACCCTTTCCCATTCCAGTAAAATCTAGTGAAAGAGGGGTATCTCCAGCAGGGGCATCAAAACTTGCCTAAATGAACAAAAAAGCCGTGGTTTAGTCGTCACTATCGAAAGATTTGGACTAGTGTTGCACTAATTAGGATAATTACAAGCATAAGTATATGAAAAGACAAAGAATAAGACATACTAGTCCTTTCAAACAAGTTCCTATTAGTCATAGGTTGTGAAATGATATCACTTATTTTTGTATTACAGTAGACCACACAAGAGGCATAGGTTCTTTGTCTGTCTAGAAATATAGAAATTTCCTAATGTATGTGCTCGTTCACTCTTTCTAAATTTTTTTTTAATCAGTACTCGTCCGCTCTTTCTGTTTTTCTGTTCTCACCCTTCTCTTGGGACATAATGTTTGATTTCATTAATTTTTTTTCTCTAATTGGAATTGGTTACTTCATCCCCATTGGTTATTCAGAACTACACCAATAGTACATACACGTACTGGCGTTGCATATGCATGAAACCATAATGAATATTTTGTTCACTATGTCGCAAATGTTCCAGCAAGGTTACATAGTTGATGTGCCTTAGTCGCAAATGTTCAAATTTATCCTGAAATTGCATATATATATATATGAAATAAAAAAAGACAGTATTACCTTATACCAAATTAATGGTTGGTTTGTAGGCAATGCAGATTGTGACTTCCAAAGCGAAGAACTTCCATCAGATAACCCCAGTTCTTCTCCTTTCAATCCAACCTGACCGACACAGTACAACATGACAGGCAAAGTCAATGCGATTATCCTTCAGAATGAAAACCTAATGCTACCAGAGATTCGCTGAAAACATAGAAGGAAATGAAATATCTAATAATGGAAACAAATACTATTGAACCTATCTTATGGTATTTAGAAAGCTGACTTAACCTGATATGTCCATTGCTTTGACGAAAGATCAATAGTAGAGCCATTTTTGAAGCCTTTCAATTGCACAGGACCGGTAATACCTGCTCCCTTAAGATCAAAGAATGCTCCATAGTTCTGGAGTCAAATACCAGGTGTGTATTAGATCATGCTTCTAAAATGGAACATACAACAATGTGAAGTTCTTCATAGATATTAAAAGTTAATAATCATGAACCAAATAGCAGAGAATATGTGGCGATGACAAATCTTCCACTCAATCTGATTGGAGAAACCAAAATTCACACCTGAAGCCCCACGGTCACACTCAACAGGTCGATTTTGTTTTCTCCAGGTACAAGGGTGACAGGAACATCAATTGTAACTTTAGAATTTCCACTGTTTCCTTTCCCACTTCCTACAAACAATCACAAAGTGTGGCAAATGTTAACCAAAGTAAAGCAACTTTATACCATAAAACTTATACTAGACCGCAGTGAAAATGTACCTATTCCACTATCTATAGTTCCACACAAGGATGACTCATCTGCCACTTTCAACAAACTTCAAGAAACATGCTAAATGCAATATCATCACTTAATATGCTTCAGCAAATTTTTCGATTCGGCACTTTGAATAATCTACTATAAATCGTTATAGCTTTATTTATGGATGTATGGAATCCATAAGATAGCTTATGACAGTATATTTTCTTTCTTTTAGGCAACTAGTATGTATTCATCAAACGTCATTCGTTCTCGTTACCTGATAGCTTTCCGTTAATGAAAGCATGAAGAACATGGCCAAGTGATTCCACATGAAGTACTGTTTGAGATCCATCTTGAAGGAAAGGCTCATCATTTTTTACATTAACACTGGAAGAAAAGTTGGAAATGATTTCAGAATGACGAACTTCAGAGCAGATCACAATCATGAGTGCAAACAAAGAACACTAGATATTCTCTAGAAATGCTACTGATTAGAAACTAAGAAAGTGGATATGATGTAATTAGCTGTAGTATTTATCTGCTTTTACCTCAGAGAGTACCAAAGATAATCACTTTTATCTGCTGTAGTATTTATCTGCTCCATCAAACCCGTTTTTGTGAACGCGTTATCACTTGAGATACCTACAGGCTCATTAACCCAAGTCCAACCTGACAAGGATGCGCCAGAACCATCAGCTTCCGTAGACTGAGTAACAAACTTTGAGATTGTTGACATCGAGTTAATCTGTCACCAAGAAATGTAAAACCATCAGCTTAGAAGAGCACACGTAAATGTAATTCTCTAACTCTAATTTCCTCTATCAATGAGGAGGTTTGTACCAATAATGGTAGTATCATTTTTCTCTCTGTCATTTGAGAGATTAACCAGGTCTCATTAGTAGCATATGAGTTGCAGATTTACAGAGGACACTTTGGTTTGATTGAATAATGATAAAGGCTGTTATGCTTTTGCTCTTCCCACTTAATGTCGCAGAGAGTCAATTCCTCGTACAATCAACTTATAACTAACTGTAAACAGATATGGTTTTTCATTTAATTCAAGATGTGTGTCAAAGATTTTTAAGTGGGAAAGCACTCTAATTCCTTTATATATCCTGTTAAAAAGAAAAGAGCGAATGAAAGAATACAAAGACAACACATGCTCGAAACCATTGACCTCCAGACTGGCCATTATGAAATGAAATGCGCAAACCTTTAACCTCACAAGGCAAAGAATGCTAATCTGGCATTATCATCCACTAGGCTTTACAATAGGATGTGGAAGGAAAGATTGTACTTGCTTTAATTTTAACTTATGGAAAGAAAGTGAATGGAACTGCAACTTTATCAACTTTCACGTGCGGACGCCAATAAGAAATCGAGAAGGAAAGACAGACAATTCATGGAAGCAGATTGATTGGCAACAAGCACATAGCTAAGTTTCGAAGTTTCAAAGTGGACAAGATTATGAACCAAACCTTTGCAGTACTAAATGCCACATTTTTGCAATCAGGTAAGATGCTCACGGACCAAGGAGGCAAATGATATGAATTTCCATTGAAAGTCACGGCTGCATCAGACTGCGTACCCACATTGGCAAGAAATGCAGCACACACCGATCCAGTTTTATAAACACTGACCTGAAAGAGAAAACGAAGTTTGTAAGATATACTGTGAAGCTCTCCTGAAAATGTAATGTTATCTGTACAATTCATTCTGAATATACCTCTATGTTAGAGCCTGGAGAAGTGATAGTTGGATCAGTTGCCACCATTGCAGCCTCGCACAGCTTTATGGCTTTATGGAGATCTTTCAAGTGACCCCACTTTGGTTGTCTTATAAGGCCTGCATTTCTCAATTAAACTTAAGCCTTAGCTATGTATCAAAATCAAAGAATGGAATGGTTTGACATCGTGATATAAGCGATGGAGAATACACTTGAACATATGCAAGTGAAGTGATAAGCCATTAAGAGTAAACATACCGTACTCATCTAAAGGAGCATCATAGTCATAGCTAGTTGAAATAAAGGGTCCACCACTGGTCCGGCCGAAGTTAGTTCCCCCGTGGTACTGTTCAAAGGCAGTAAATATCATTTTAAGATTCAGTTCAGCTGTCATTGCAGTAGAGTGCTACAGATAAAGAAGCTGGAGTCACTTGGTTAGAAATTGATACAGTACCATGTAATAATTCTGAAAGGTTCCACCTCGCTGGAAAAATCGAGCCACAGCAAAAGCAATGTCTTCCACAGGTCTGTAAGGGACAGCACCACCAAAAGAAAGAAACCTAATGTTCCCAAAAATTCAAAAAGAGAGGACTCACTCAATAAGGGCAATTTCAGATACATTTTAAATTAGTATCAGCAAGTATTGGACCTGCATATTAAAGGACTAAAAACCAAATGCATTACCATCCAGTCCAATTCTCCGTCCACATCTTGGGTGTCTTATCAGAATTCTGCTTGAATTGGTCACAATAGAATCCATTGCAAGTGTTTATCTGTCATTATCAAAGCACGCACAAAGTTAATTTACCTTATTGGCAATCTGTTCAACTCAAAATTATTTGGTAGTCTATCAAAAGTTCTCAAGGTGTTTTTTTTATGAATAAAGCACAAGGGAAGGACGGGAAACTCACTATGGGATCAGGGGCATCTGGTTGCTGGCACATAACCCATGGCACTCCTGTATCCAACGATGTAGCCATTTTTGCTGCCCAGTTGACATAAGGTTTGGCACGAGGACCATAACGAGACTCAATATCACCATTGCCATATTCATTTTCTATCTGCTTGGTCAATGAAGCATCTTTACTCAAACTATATCAAAGAGCAACCAATATCGAATAGCTTCTTAGTACTCCGAAGTGTACTAAATCACTATGATAAACTAACCTGAGACAAAATAACCGGTCCCCCTTGGGATGCATAAAGATTTTCTTGCTTGATCATGTCAACAATTTTGGCTGTAAATCGCTTCATTTCTGCCTGCAACAGGAAGCCCTCATGTTAATGAACTCAGCAAACCAGTATCCCGAGGAAAATAACTAATAAGGATAAGGGAAAACCTTGAATGGTTCATTATCAGTTCGAAATTCAACTCCAGGAATGAAATGCAACCAAAGAGGAAACCCACTGTCTCAAAATAGATTAAAACCACTGATTATCAGTAAAGGAAGAACAAAAAAACAAAATCAATAAATTACAAACAATACAATCATTGATTTGAAAAATAGGAAAAAAGAAAAATTACCCATAGTTCCATTCTGCACAAACATAAGGCCCAATCCTTATATGAGCATATAAGCCAGCTTTCCCCACCAACTTCACAAATTTAACCAAATCTTTCCTTCCTTCAAAATCATACTGCAAATGTATTCATCTTATCAGTTCTTCCATTTTCCATCCTTTTCTGTTCTTTTCTTCAAATGGAAAATCACTCCTTGATACTCAAATGGACTTCTCAAGTTTTCAATCAATTTTATCTTATGTTGCTCGGATTCTTCAAAAATGTCGCCGGCAAGGACCCAAAAGTAGTGTATTTCTGGAAGGACCCAACAGGGCCGGCAACATTTTCGAAAAGCCCGAGCAACATAGATTTTGTTTAGTTCAACATTTCTAAATTTATTAAAAAGAAAAGAAACCTGAGAAAAACAATTCACTACTTTATATTATATGTTCAATGAAATCAAGTACTTGGCACTCAAGATAAAGAAACAGTAAAAAAGGTAGGAAGTTTCATTCTTTTCTTGTTGGTCCATACTGAAGCAAAGAATAGCAAACAAGAAAAAAAAAACTAAAACTGAAATAAAATTACCTGATTTCTAACAGGTTCATGTATGTTCCAGAAAACATATGTCTCTATTACATCCAATCCTCCATCTTTAGATTTCTGTATAAGGTCTGGCCACATCTGCATATTATTTCAAAAGAAAAAAATGATTTTTTTTAATTATAAAAAATGCAACTACACACACACACACACACACAGAAGAGAGAAAAAGTAGTTAGAAAGGCTCACATCAGGAGTACTGCGAGGGTAATGTATGGAGCCGGAGATCAGAACTCTACGCTGGCCGTCAATGACCAACGCCCGGTGATCATACGTCACATTGGCGGCAAATGACGTCATCACCAAACAATGCAACACCACCCCTCCAAACACTAGCATTACCGATAAACCCATCATTCTTGATTTTCCGACCAAATTATAGATTTTCCGATCAACTCATTTATCACCGGAACTAAACTCCTAATATTTATACTAACAATGTAAGTATTAAATCTGTTTCTTAGAAGCAGAGTTTTTGGGGTTTTGCTTTTGCAGCTTTTACGGTTGCTTCAGTTCAGATGATGCTTTTAATCAAAATTCTTTCTTCTTTATACACAAAATACAATAAAAGCAGACACTTTTCAGGTATATTATTACTGTAGTAGTTTGCTTAAAAGAATTAATATGAAAACTGAAAAGGGAATCAAAATATAGAGAAGAGGATGAAGTTATTATAGGCCGGAGACGACACGACACCTGTACACTGTTAACGTTAAGATTTGTTCTGTGATAATTAATTATGACGTTGTAATGTCGTCGTGGTGTTCATCATTCTCTGTAAGTGGGACGGCTTTAAGCAGTTAGCATTATCACAGAGGATGAGCTTATATCAATTCTTTCAATGCAAAATGGCATTATTTGGCTAGAGAGATAAGATTTTTGTTTTTGTTTTTTTTTAATTTTTTTATTCAATATAAACCGTACTACTATTAATATCGTCGGCTCGAAACACTATAAGAGTAGGCATTTTTGCCGTTTAGATTTCTGGGTATTATTTAGGAAATAATATTACTGAATGTTTTGCATGAACAGTGGAAATTATGTTACCGCTGATAGTGCTGACAGAATGACTAGTCCAGAATTTTTATTAAGGGTGATAATAAATAAAAAAGTAAATATTACGAAAAATTAAGGGGTTCAACCTATAGTAATATATATAAATAAAAGAATTTCTCACCTACCTTCAGTATATTTTTTGGGGTAAAGGCGACATTCCTTGCTATAAGGTGGCTCCGCCATTGGTCAGGTGTATGTAGTATTAAGGTAACGGGTTCAATTGAATTCATAATTTTTTATGCGGAATATAAATTTATGTGTAAAAAAACTAGACAAAATGGCCTCGTGGCCACTTAAACTTGCTTTCATTTGTAAAGTCGATACACGAACTTATATTGTTCCCATTTGAATACTCAAACTTACATATTTGGTAAGTAATAAACATATTTGACTGATGACCATGCACATGTGCAGTGACAGAGGTGACGTGGACAAAGTGTGTGCAAGTCACGTAAACTAAGCGCGTAACTACAATAATTTTGATTAAAAAAATATAAAATCAGAAGAAAAAAAATTACAAATAAAAAAGAAAAAAATAAGCCCCCATTTAAAATAAGTAATACCCTTATTCCCCTGGCCCCTTTATGTTTCTTTTCCCCTTTCCCCATTGACATTTGCACCTCTCCCCACCTCCCCTTTTCT